TATGTATATTAAAATATATGTTAATTTTTATATGTATCAATAATATTAAAATATATATTAATTTTTATAAATTTTTTTATGTGAATTAATTATAAAAATATATATTTATTACATTTTTAATTTATACTTTAAAATATGATTAGACAAACTTTAATATAGAAACTTGTTATGTATTAATTGACAAACTTGTATATGGGAGCTGGATAGGCCATCATAATGGTCCAAAAGTGAGGAAACTTGCATTATTGCCTCACCCTTGATGACTGATGAGATTTTGGCTGAAACAGAACGATTTGCAAGTACTAAATCGTGGGTATGAGTGGGAATTTTGTTGATGTAGAACAATCACTATAGGGCCCCACCTCCTCCATAAAAGTGATAGACTTAGAAACCCCTCATAATTATGCCATGAATTCAAATTAAGGGAAAGCTATGTTTGAACCAACAATGAAAGCTAGACAGCTTGAGAGGATCATTACTAATTTGGATTTGCAGTCACAACCTTAATGATTGGATTTATTTTTTTAAATGTCATTTTATAAGTTAAGTTTATAATTTAAGTTTTAAGAACAATCAAAGAAATTTTTTGTAAATACATTATATTAACGTTAAGAGTTTGTTAAAATAGAAATTAATTTTAAAATACATATAAATTAAATTAAAAATATTTTGATGGTAAAAACAAGGATAACTAATTTAGCAATAATTGTGATTGTAATCTTTTACCAACTACTATAAGAAATCCATCCATGTACCAAATTTTGTAAGAATATAAATAAAAAGCATAATTTTTTTTTTTTTTGCCTAAGTTGTCACATCCTATTTGTGTTAAGTATTTGCAAACAAATTAAAATAGGAACAAAAAAAACTATTCTCACTCTACCTTCACAAAAGTACCCATATTGTACATTTTTCATTTTTCTTTCGCTACTTTAATGAGTTCGTCTTTATGACATTTGAGAGTGTGGAGCATAAAGAGGAATGAGTGGAATATTTGCTTGGAAGGGCTGAAAGGTACAATTTTTGGTAGTGATTATTCTTTGCTCATTCCCTCACTCTACTACCGAGCGAAAGTAACATCAAAGCAAAAACAATGGAGAAAAAGCATAGGAAAAGGGAAGAAGTGAACTTTTCTTATTTCTATGCACTCTTGAACAACAAGGTTTCAAGAGAGATGAAATGTTTTTCCCAACTAACTTCTGCTACACCTGAAATAAATTCATTTCATTATTTTATGGAAGATCAAAGAGAAAAACGAGGAAGAAATTCATGGATAGAAAAAGCTCCCAACCCTAAGGTTGGATTCCAATCTTGCAGGTAATGTCTAAGTTATGAAAATAAGCAAGGAAATAAATTTCTTTAAATAACGTATTTAAGTTAAAAAAATGAAAAGAAAACAAACTAACTAATTAAATTATAATATTTTTAACTTTTTACTCCTCTCTTTTGTTCAATTCAAATATATTATAAGTTTTTTTATTAACCTCTCAATATTTAAAAATTATATTAAATTTTAATTAATTTAAAGTTAAATATAATCAAATCTTATATAAAAAAAAACTTTTTAATATTTATTTTTTTATTTATAAATTTTAAATTTTACTTTAAAAAAATCGAGTTACACCCAGGGGCGGAGGGAGGGGGTGCAAGGGGAGCACTAGCCCTCTTGAAATTTAAAAATCTTTTAAAATTAGTTTATGAAAAATTATTTCACCCTCTTAAAATTTAAAAATTTTGTAAATTTAACTTTAAAAAAATCGAGTTACACCCAGGGGCGGAGGGAGGGGGTGCGAGGGGAGCACTAGCCCTCTTGAAATTTAAAAATCTTTTAAAATTAGTTTATGAAAAATTATTTCACCCTCTTAAAATTTAAAAATTTTGTAAATTAATATATGAAAAATTATCTAATCCCCTAAAAAAAAAAAATTTCTGGTTCCGGCCCTGTTAAACCGATGGGTGGTTGGTCCGAATATATTATAAATGCAACAGATAATGTAAGCCTCCCATTAAAATCGTCGAAGAGATTAGTATGGACGGACGCTTGAGCTAATCCATGAATGCCTGGCGGTGAAAATTGACAATGGTGGTAGCATGTGGGCCCCAAATTTCCAAGTAATCAATGTCCTTCATTACTCTCCCCTTCCCTTCTCTCATCTTATCCTGAAACTCCATGTGCTCAGCTTCGTCAGTTCCAGCTGGCACTCTGGAGGTTCCGTGATTGGTAACATTCTTACAAACGAAACAAGAACAGAACTGGTCAGAAAGTACAGGACGAGATCCGAGGAACACCCAATACATTACCTTTTTCTTTCCCAGTTCCATGTTTAATTTCCAAAGAAACTGAGGGGAAAGAAAAATCTCAACAATGTATTATCCAAAAGTTTGAAACTTTATCCTTTTCTCCATCTGGGTCTTTCTCTCAAGAACTGTGTGGATTGTGCTCTCTCAATGGACTCAAAAACTCGTCTTGATTATGTTCTGTTCCAACTCACACCCACCAGAACCAGGTTTTTTTTTTTTTTGTTTTTCTCTTTTTTCACATGCTTCTGTCTGTTTGTTACATCTGATTCGACTGTTACATTAGTTGCTGAAAATATGATCTGTTTTTTTCTTTGTGCTGACCCAGCAATTTCATAACTGTATATATCTACATGTTCCGGAATGCATTGATTTATTTTTCTTTGTGAGGTCATTAATTTGAGGGTTGGATGTTTCTGTGAAATTTAAGGTGTGATCTGGTGATTTTTGCGGGCAAGGAGAGTGAGAAATTGGCATCAGGCCTATTAGAACCATTCATTTCACATCTTAAAACTGCGAAAGATCAGATTTCCAAAGGAGGGTACTCCATAACTCTTCGTCCATTGCGATCAGATTCATCCTGGTTCACCAAAGCTGCACTACAGAGGTAAATTCAATCATGAGTTTTCTTAGATATAGACAAGTTATTAACTTGATTTCGTTTTGGACTCACATTTGGGGGTAACTATTTGAAGGTTTGACTGATTACTTTCTGTATTTGGTATAATTTTGGTTTAAAAGTTTGGTAGCTTTGAGCATTAGACCAAGATTTACTGTTCAATGGGAAGAAGGGGAAGATATTTACCACAACAAAGATATGGATTTGACTCTCAGATTAATTGCATTCACTAAGATTGAATCTCATGGCATCTTTATTTATCTCTGTTATGAATTCGTTTATGATTTATATATATGTTTTAACAGATTTGTGAGATTTGTTAGCACACCAGAAGTTCTTGAGAGATTTGTGACTGTAGAGAAAGAGATTGAGCAGATTGAGAGTTCAATTCAGTCAAATGAAGCTGCCGTGGCAACAGAAGCAGATGGTATGTGTTTTTCTTTTATCCATAATAGAAAATGATGCACCTGTCATCAAGTCCTAGCATAGAAATGTGGTTGACAGAGAATGATAAGGAGCAGAATTCAAAGGAAAAAACCATGCACTTGTCCTATCTTCTGCATTCTACCTTTGTCAAATTAGGTAATATGTCATGGTTGATGAAACTTGACAAGTATAAACTAATTACAAGATTTAAACTGTCTTATGTAGATGTTATAAAATTGATTTCTAGGCAACTGAATCAAATCTTGTAAAGGTGCAATTAAAATATGTCATTTCTTTTGTAATATCATGTGACACAGATGTCTGCAATGCTGGCCCTTCTATGGTAAATATCATGGCAAAAGTGGTTTTAATAACAGAGTTAGTAATTTGGATGATATTTTTACCTGGAATAGACTTTGGGATTTTAGTTCTTTTCCTTTGGACCATGTTCATACACCACCTCAAGTAATTTCATCCTAACTTCTGCAGGAAATGAGACTGCTGGAAATTTCCTAAATTCAAGTTTATCATCGAAGGTATGTTGGCATTGTAGGATGTTCGTTTTGTTGTGTTTCCTCAAAAGCTAGCATCTTAATTTATGACTCTATACTGTGACACTATAATCTTGCAGTCAAAAGGTGAATCTAATGGAACCAATGATGCCCTACCTGAAGAAAATTCCAAGTAATTACCAACACCCACTACCATTTAAATTTGAAAATGTATGCTTCATTTCATTTCATTTGTACCCCTCTGCTTTATGTGCTTATCTGGGTGTAACGTATAGGGTTCGTCTCCAACGTGTCCTGGAAACTAGAAAGGCAGTACTCTGCAAAGAGCAAGCAATGGCTTATGCTCGAGCCTTGGTTGCTGGATATGAACCAGATTGTATAGATGATCTCATATCTTTTGCAGATGCTTTTGGTGCTTCACGTTTAAGGTATGACAGGACAATAGTTGAACTGATAATGATTTTGATCACGTTGGGTTTTCTTATCAAAACAATGTTTGTGTACATCTATTGGCTACAGTGTACCCAAGACTTGAACTTGGTGAACACATGCTCTTGTTTAAATGAGCAAAGTAAGAATCGTAAGTCCTAACATCTATTTCTGGTTTCATTTAGGGAAGCTTGCATAAATTTCATTGAATTATGCAAGAAAAAGAATGCAGATAGGCTTTGGATGGATGAAATAGCAGCAATGCAAGCAAATGCTAGGCCAGACTTGCCTTACCTTGCCACTTCTGGAATCATACTTGCTGGTGAAGAGAATGACCCTAGTCGTAATATCATGATGAATTTCTCTAGTGGAAAGCAGAATGGCTCAGCCGATACCCCGGTGTCTGAATCTGGAAGTGGAGATAACAACCAAGGTATGTTTGAAAACAAAATTTTTCAGCTTCAAATTATTATTTGCAGCTGCATTAAACATCTAAACAAGATAACACAAGACTAGATAGCTAGTTCGTTCTAACTGAGCAACTGATTCATCCCTTAAATGTTATATAGATGGGAAAACTCAAGTACCAGTTGCATGGCCCAACCATCTTCCACAGTACATGCAGAATTTTCAAGGTCCCCTATTTCAACAAGTGTCTCCTTATCAAGGCTACCTTTTTCCTGGTATGCCTGCTGCTGCATCATATTATCCAGGGAATATGCCTTGGCCTTCAAATGTAGAAGATTCTAACCTTGGTCATGCTTGGGAACAGAATGATCATAGACATCATAAATCATCCTCTAGGAGCAGGAGGAGTTCTTCTTATGGCAAGGGAGAGGAAAATTCAAAACAAGATGAATCCTCTGAGGCTAGTGAATCCAGCTATGAGACTGAACCAGAAGCGAAGGTGCACAAAAAAAAACATGGAAAGAAGTCCTCAAGAAAGGTTGTCATCCGTAATATTAATTACATTACTTCAAAAAGAAATGGAGAAAGGGACAGCGAATCTGAAGAGATGTCTGATGAGGCTGATTTCATCGATGGAGATTCCCTCAAACAGCAGGTAGAGGAGGCTGTTGGGTCACTGGGTAGACAACATAAATCTACATCACGCCATCATAAGAAACGAGACATCAGCAAGCATCAAGCTGTCAGTTCATATGATGCAGATGAACTGGAAGCTAAGAATGTTGCAACTTCTGAAGGAGAAAAAAGAAATGACAACTGGAATGCTTTCCAGAACCTTTTGATGAAGGACAGGGATTTGGATGCTTTAGAATTAGATTCACAACCTTCACAGCTGCAGAAGGAATATTTTACACCTGAGGGGGGAAAGTCATTGGCATTTAATCTGGAGTCTGAGGGTGTAAGAAAGCAACGAGTTATCTCAAGTGATTCCTTTGTTGCAACAAGAATGGATATAGGAAATATAGGTGAAACTCGTGTTGCAAACTTTGGAACTGATGAAACTGTCCGCCCATTTGTTAAGAAAAGTAATAGTGCATATGAGGAGTTGTTAACTTTGGGAGGAAATAATGATTCTGTTAACAGTTCCCGAGCTAACATGTCTGATTATGCTATTGAGTCTACCAGAATCAGAAGTCAAAAAGGAGATTGGTTTGTTCACAATCAACAAAATAAATCAGCTCAAGATGAGACTATTGGCCTCAAAACATTTGATGGTGATTATGCTTCATTTGCTGGTGACAGTTTCAGTGTTGAGAAAATCAAGAAGGATGTTCTGGTTGATGACTCTTTTATGATTCAAGGTCCATCAGTAGCAGAAAATCAATCTGATTCACAAACAAGAATAGATATAAGTATGGTTCCAGAAATTGTTGGAGCTGCTCATTATGAAAATGGCACTCCAGATTTTGCTCCTGAAGCTTCATATGAGCCCGATGACCTTTACATGGTGCTTGGACGTGATTCAACTGCTGAGCATGCTCAAGCATCTTGGACTCCAGAAATTGATTATGAGAATAACATGTTATCAGCTGAAGCAAATGGAAAGCACTCTGTTGACATAACTGGTTCTGCTGGTGAAAATCCACCATCAAATGGAAAGGGAACTAATAGCAAACCTCGTGGGATTCCAGGGGGGAAGCTTTCAAACAAAGATGCACAATCTAAAGCTTTGAATGGATCTCTTGCTAGGAGCAAATCAGACATGTTGTCAAGGAGCAAAAGACCAACCCCTGGAAGCAGAGCCACAGTTCAGAGAAGTAAAGTTGACAAGGTATTTTAGAAAATACACTTCTATCTGTTGGGAACAGCCAGAGTATAAGGGAGCATATAAATTTCCATAGTCTAACATCACTTTTGTTTAACAAAGCACTCAGCAGGAACTGTGTTTTCCGTAACATCTTTTAGTGATTTTTTCTCATTGGTTTTGGAAATCTAAATGTTATTGGTGCATGTTGCATTTGGTTGTTATGTTAAGATATTATTATATGATGACTCAATTTTCTCTTCTTTTGTCCATTCCTCCTCTATCTCCCAACAGGAAGAAGAGAACCGAAAGAAAATGGAGGAGTTACGCATCCAGCGCCAGAAGAGGATTGCTGAAAGGAGTGCTGCTAGTGGTTTAAAATCAGCACCTCCCAAGAGGAGCCCAGTTGTGAATAAAACTGCTGTCACTTCCACAAAAATTGAGAAGCCTAAAACTCAAACCCAGACCCAGGGGACTAATAGAGAACAAAAGCCAGTCCTCAGAAGTTCCACTATTGAACGCCTTGCAACTGCCCGGAACACTTCAAAAGTATCATCATTTGAATCAAAATCAAGCCAGCCAAAAAAGACTACCGCAAAGGCAAATGGCAGTACAACAACCACGTCTCAGAAGACTTCTTGTGCTGCAGACAAAAAATTAAGTCCAGACAAAGTCGAACCTGAAGACACTAAAAATGGCTTGATTAAAGCAAACAAGGTAGTTCCTCATGACTCTGATGCTCAAAGAAAGGAGGATTACAGAGAAGCTACAGCAACATCACCAATGGGATTGGTAGCATCACATGCTGCTCAACCTGCTGATGCCGTTGATGATTTCAAAGACATTAAGGAGTTGCATAGGATATCTTCAATTGAGAAAACTGAAAGAAACACAACTTCTAAAAAGAATGAGTCAGATGACAGGAGCTCCACTGGTAAAGTACCCAGCATGCACCTAGTCACTGAAGATCAGTCGTTGCAAGCAGACCATGTCAAGGGTAATGAGGAATCAACTAAGGCATCTTCTGTCAATTGTGAAGACAAAACAGTGCCTAAATGTTTTGATGAACGTGTTCCAGAGATGGTGCAACCCTTGCCAGTATCACCTAAAAAACCGGTGAAGTTTTCGACTGTGAATATTGAAGAGAATGGTAGCACAAACATAAATGACAAGTACCTCTTGCCCAAGGTTTCCGAGATAGAAATCTCAACCCCACCCCCAAATGTTGAGATAAATATAGAACCAGTCTCATCCAGGAAGAAATGGAATAACAATGAGGGCAGTCCCAAAGCTGCTAAAGGGTTTAGAAAGCTTCTTTTGTTTGGGCGGAGAAGTCAGACCATTTATACAGCTTGATTCCATGGATCTGGTTAATTCTTTGCAAGCAGCTTAGGGTGTGCCTGCCATTTCGTATTGCCTCTACTTAAGCTTATGGGTTGTTCAAGAGCTGCACATGGAACGTACCAATAAGGCACTTGGTATTGCTGCCATTCAAGGATTCTTTTGTGTAAGTTATCAGTACATTTTACATTTTACATTCTAGCGTGATGGTTCAAACACAAATTCTTTTCAGTGTGGTGTGACTTTTGACTGCATATATGTACACGTTTGAATCTTTCTTGAATCATATACTAGTCTTTGTTATAGAATATAGCATGCACCCTGAAAAGCTGCAAAGATTTATATTCTTCAAACCTGGACTTCTTTTCTAAGTTCAAAACCAAGTCATATTGCATTCATTGACTATAGAATGCCAACAACTATGATGCTAACTACCTACTACATCCTCTTAACGGTTTAGCAATAATGAAATGTTTTTGTGCTGCCTGTACTCGGCCTCGAGATTCTTCTGTTTAGCTACTACAGTGTCATACTCTGGGAGCTTTGGGTGCACATAACTTGGTGAACAAGCATGATTCCCTTTTTGCGCATTCATCTTATCCATTGAACCATCCCAAGAAATGTGATCTTTTACCAGCATACCGCAATTATTTCTTCTCCGCTGATCTTGTGTAATGGAATGGCAATGCGGAGTTCCAGGAACCATGGAATTTCTGCAATTTCTTTTGGCATTATTCTCGGAACTTCTACTTCTGCCTGAGGGATTCAGACCATGATGCACTTCTCTACCAATCTTCTTCTCCTCCAAATCATCAAGATAGACAATGGATGTCTCATAAATTTGAGATGTACTGTCCACAGAAGTTCTGGTTGAATGATTTTCCTGCTTGTTCATCAACCCTGCATTTTATTGGAATAATTATAGCTCTAGGAAACACTTGCAACAGTTTAAATCAATGCAAGATTGGCATGAAATGGTGAGAAAGTTCTTACAAGGTGACATAACCTTCCCGAGAGTTGGCAACTTAGCCACCTGCGTCGAACACTCGTCAGTATCACTGCCAACCTCCTTGATTTCCAAATCCAGAACTTCAGCTTTCTGCTCTGAGAGACTGTAATCCTGGGCCTGCAAAGTAAGAGGTTTATGAGTATGGCAAAAAAGCTTATTACTTTGTTATGTAACAACAACAACAACAAATGTTAAGAACCCACCTTAGAATCCTGAAACACGAGACGAAGATTGTATTCTTTGGCTATTTCATTAATCAAATTCAATTTCTCATCATCCGGGACAGATTTTATGCAGAGGTACTGCTTCATCTGAGAATTCACAAGGTTTCCTGGACGTAATTGCACATTGACCCCCTCAAATTCAGAACCAAAACGTTCTTTAAACAGACTTCGGATCAGATGCAGCGCAGGCAATTCTCCACATCTTGAGGCAGCAAATATTAGACTCGACAATGCTTCACCAACATCAATGGGCAACAATTGCCAGGAACTGTAAGAATCAATTAGTCCATTGTATAATAGCATCAGTGAAAACTCAAAAGAACAAGGAAAAGGAGAAGAATCCCAAATCGAAAATGATAAATATCTGCATTAACTACCTCTGTTTGTTGACATGGGAGATGTTAGTCATGATATGCACACAGAAATGTTCAATCTTATCATATGCACACAATAGCTGCTGGTCCTTATACAGCTGCACAACCTAATGTCAAAATGAAGAAGATTTATTTATAGTCTGTATTACCACAGTATAAGGAAACTGGCTGATTACGAAAAGAGTATCAACTATACAAAACGGGTTAATAGGTAAACAGGTAGTTCATAATATATAGAAAAACAGACCCTGTATAGTGCTTTCTGGAGCTGTCCATTCTGGAGAAGCTGAGCAACGTCGGCACGAGACTGCCTTACCATTGATTCTTTTCTGTTCCTCTGGATACTTACATGATTCTGAAGTTGCTTGATCAGTTTCTTGCTGCAGAGTAAAGCAGAAAACGTGATACAAATTATATCCATCCATTACCAATGCATTAACCAGACACTGATTTCCTCAAACATTTAGGATCAAGCAAAAAGCTCTCAGTTTTATTAAGAAGATTAACCATTCATAAACACTTAAACGTAACAAATATATATATGTGATTTTTCTAAAAGCTGTCTGATTTTCTTAAGCAAATCATTCTTGAATTGGTCATTGTTTAAGAAAACAAACAGGAAGCTAAAGACTAATTCATACCACTTAACAGCTCTCTTCCATCTTGATGGTTTGGTCAAAGCTTGAACCACAGCTCGGAGCTTTTCGAACCACATTTTAGCAATTCAGTTCACTAATTTAACAAGAAGATGAAGAAAAAAAATGCAGAAAACCAGCTGTGAACTTTTTGAGATTTCTCTGGCTTTGATCTTACAGAGGAGGAGACAAAGTATACTGAGAAATAATGGGATTATTTATAATGTGCTAGTAATTATAGGCACTAAGATGAAGCTTGAGAGTCAAGGAATAAACCTTCGGCTTTCCCCTGCTATTATGACCAAGAAACTGAATGTTTAATTTCCATTTTAGGCTCACATTCTTCCTTTTTGAAAAATATTTCGCATAAACCCAGATGGAAAATCAATATATGCCGTATCATAATAACAGGATCGTATTAAAGTAAATGAGATAATGAACGTAAATATTTAATGTTCAAGAGACATCTTTTTTGAGTAATAGATCTTTGGACTAAATTTTAGGACGAAATTTTTTCAATCAACAATCTTGAGCTCATATGAGACTTATATCATAATCAACGGCCACCGTAATTTGTCCCAAATTTTGGTCTTAAAAATTCATCTCAATTATTATTATTTTCCATCAGAAATAGTATAGTTACAATATGATTGTATATTTATAATTATAATATAATATTAAATAAATATGAGATAAAATTAAACAAAAATATATACAATCTCACGGATACACTTTAAATAAAAAAAATAAATTATATAATAATATATTATGTTGTAAAATTATAACACTACATGATATTATAACTATATTAATTTTTATTTTTCATTGTTTATGATGACTTTCTTCATTCAATTTATACCCAAGAGTTTATTATATATTGGATTCTTCAGTTAATTTATATAGAAGGAAAATTGTTTAGAAAATCAAATCCTAATTACTCATTTGTGATACGTACCTTTTTCTTTTTCTTTTTTTATGATCTTGGTTACATAATAGGAGATAATCATCTCTTATCTTTTTATCTTACCCAACTTGCTTATTATGCGATTTGAATTCAGAATCTCTTACTTCCAACGAGAAAAGATAACCACTAATTTACTTAAATCATTGAAGATATGTACCCAACTTCTATTTCTTAATATTTAGGTTTTTCCTCTTTTTGGGCTAATGATATTTGCAATGAGTTTTTTTTTTTTTTTTAGTGTACGGAAAAAGTGAATTTATTCCTAAATCAATGGGATTCAAAGGATTAAATAAAGAAAACTGGGCATAAGCGGCACAACAAGGGATCACAGC